CTGTTTCAGTGTCCTTAGATGTGCCCCTCCAGTGTGGTGGCAGCTCTGGGAACTAACTTTCCAATGGAAGTATTTGAGCTTTCTTCCTCTTTCTGCAAGATCCAGTGTCAGCTTATTGAGCATTGAATTGCTTCTGACCTCACTCCTCTCTCCCCAGAACAAAAAGGAAGTCGCTATTTGCTTTTCCAGCAAGGTCACGGATCACCTGACCACGTCCTTCAGCAGCTGGGAAGCCAGAGCTGCTGTGCTGAACTCAGTCAGCTCGTCTGGAGCCTTGCTCTCTCCCCGCCCTGGGCTACGGCAGGGGGAGGATGTCAAGTGAAGAGAAGGTGGTCACAGCTTTCCTCCCAACACTTTTCTTCTTGAAGCTCAGATTCAGCTGCTGCAATGCAGGCAAAAATGACAGACACTTACAGAAAAAAAATGTGGGAATGAAGTTAATGTGATTGTGTTAATGTGTCATTTATTGAACATGAGTTATCTCTTTGTTTCCTGTGTCTGGGAAGTGAGCCGACTGGAGAACTCGTTGGCAGAATCTTTTTCAGGGGTGCATCTCCCCTCTCCAGGTGTGTGCACTCCAGTCCTCTCAGTGCTGGCAGGTGCCTGCTGCTGCTTAGCACAGGGGACATTTACCCTTGGAGGCATGGGCGCCAGAATGGGGAACTGGGAAGCTCTCATCATTTTGGCAGGATCAGCATGATCGGCACGAGGTACAGGTATTTTTTCCCCTTTTTTGGAAAAGGTGCTTTGTTTTTGCAAGGGATCATGCAGGCATTGACAGGATCGCTGTTTTGTGCACTACCTTGCTAAATATTTGACTTCGTAAGGTTGAGTTCTCCAAGAATTCTCATGGCAATAGGCTGTGCTTTGAGCCAAGCATTCTTTTCAAGGAAATCCAAGGTGCTATTTATTTTGGCATGCAGCCTGTTCTGGGATGAAATATGGCATTTTTATTATTGAAGAATAAAGAGGTTTGAAGAGAACAAAAGTACAGAACTGGGTTTCAGTTTCAGGGCCAAGTAAAGGAAGGTTTCTTAGTATTTGGATTTGAGGTTAGAAATGAGATTGAAAATGGTATCATAAAAGAAATAAATATGGAGAGGGAGGGGGTGTGGGTTTATACTACAGAGTTGGGCTGACCTAGGGAAATGCAAGCCCCTGGGCCTGGACCCTGCTAGAGCCGTTTCTTGTGTGACTGGCAGTTACACATGGGCCTTCACTGATGTCTGCCAGTGACTGCGTCGTTGATGGATTTTAAATGTGCAGGCTCAGCCCCCACCTCTTTGCTGCCCATTGGCTTTGAGAGGCAGTGTGGAGTAATGGAGTAACACAAACTGTCCTGCCCCGAATTAACTGAGTAACTGAATTGGCCACATAGCATCTTGTGCTTCCCTTTCCTTTGTAACTTGGAGACGATACCATGGACTGACATCTGCCCCATGTTAGGATACAGAGGGGGTGTGGAAGAGGATTATGGGGAACAGTGGAGACAGAAATGAGTCCTGCAGGAATTCACAAGCTTACAGGTCAGGAGGGGAGATGCTCTAAAGAGAGAGAGCTATATGTACTCAAAATATCTAGAATATGATGAGCTAATGAGAGAGGCTAACTGGGCATCCTTGAACCTGGGATAGGCCAGAGGCAAATGAAAAGTTAATACCACCACCAGGTATTACAAGGTTCTGAACACTGGGGACACAGCTTTACAAAACAAGTAATAAGTTGCTTTGTGTCAACATTTTAAATGCTCCAGAGGTTGCAAAATTCCATTTTAAAGGGGAATTCTGTGCAACAAAGCTATGTTTCACATTCTGTTGTATTACAAAGAAGTACGTGTTAATGTGGCAATTATTCTTCCATTTCACTCACCCAACCACATCAAACATCTACCCGCTGGAAGAAAACCCCCGTAACTAAATTCCAAGATGTGTGCCACGAAGACCATGGGCAGAAGTGGAGAAGGCTGGGGTGGGTGGGGCCGGAAAGTGGCATGGTGTGGGCATGACAGGTCCCCCCTTTCCTTGCTATCTTTAGAGCCTGAAAGCTTACTGAGCCCTCTTCTTCAGAGAGATAGACCAGCTCCATTTAATTTCTGTAGCCTTGGAAGGATTAATTTTAGCAAATTTCCAGTCTAAGAGAACCATGAGCGGTCTCTATAGAGTTCTTGAATGAGATTTGATCTAATGGGTGCTGCATAATTATGTGAAGCCCTATGATCTGCTATATGAAGGGCTGAATCTTAACTCTAACAGAGAAGTGAGTGTGATTGAACTCCCTGAGGTGACGGAACAGCCAAAGGTCCTTCTGCTCTCGGCTGGGGTCGGGGGTGCAGGGGAGGGGGGCCCTCTTGCTTAAGTGGAACATTGTTGCTTGGTGTCCAGCCTCGGAGAACAGATTGTACCTTTGGCCAGGAGGCCTTACAAGAAAGTGGCTCTGCTTCTCCATGCCCAGAGATGTCTCATGCATACCTGTGGGAGAAGCGCAGAAGCATCAGAATCAGAAACATTGTGCCTCACGAGAGCTAAAGGGCAGTCATAGCATCAGGCTGGCTTACAGTGTTGGGCAAGAGTTTGCAGATCACTTCCGTGCTCAGCCCAGGTGTGGAGTCACCTAGACTCGAGGGCAAATGTGGCTCCAGCACTTGCATGTTATGTGACTCAAGACAGGCCTGTAAACTCTGTCAGTCTCAGTCTCCCTATCTGAAAGATGGGGACAGTAATCATCCTCTTAGGGTTATATTGAGGACACGTAAGATAATTTGGGGATGCCAAGTGCTCTGAGCTCTGCTGTTGCTCAGTAATATCACGGGATCAGGGGAAGAGGGGAACAGATGATGGAGAGACAGGCAGGAGGCCAAGCTGAGGGTCCGTGTCCTCACCGTTTTCTTCCCCAGGCTTCACCTGGAAGCTGCCAAGCCTCTCCTGCCCGTCGGCACCTGGGAGGCTCCACCGCCCACTGCAGACCATGGACTTGAACATTAACATTGGCAGCAGTGGCCTCTGCTGGGATCCTTCTCTTTCTTTTCTTTTCTTTAAAATTATATATATGTTTTAAGTGAGATCTAACTGACATACAACACTGTATTAGTTTTAGGTGTACAACATAATGACTTGATACATGTATCTTTTAGCAACTTTCAAATACACGATCAGTATTATTAACTATAGTCCCCATGTTGTGCATTACGCCCCCAGGACTCATTATCTTATAACTGAAATTTGCATGTTTCGACCCTCTTCACCCATGTCACCCACCCTCCATTCCCTGCCTCAGGCAACCATCAGTCTGTTCCCTGTATCTATGATAGATCCAGACCATCTGCACTTCCCACCTGATTCCAGTTTTGTTTTGTTTTCTTAGATTCCATATATAACAGAGATCATACACTATTTGTCTTTCTCTGGCTTATTTCACTTAGAATAATGTCCTCAAGGTTCATCCATGTTGTTGCACATGGCAAGATTTCTTTCTTTTTTATGACTTAACAATATTCCATTCCCTCTCTCTATGTATATATGTATACATACCACATTTTCTTTATCCATATTCATCGATGGACACTTAGCTGTTTCCAAACCTTCTCCTTCTAACAAGGGCAACCCTCGCCCACCCCAGGTTAGAATATTCCACACCTCCCCATGGTCTGCCTCCTTAGTGACCACACTCAGCCTCCAGGACCTCTTACACTTGCCCACCTGATTCCCTAACTGCTCTCTGCTCCAGCTGTGTGCCACCCCCAAACTCAAGTACTCGTTGCCTGAAAGGAGAGCAAGATGCTTTGTGTTGGTGTTCCTTCTGCAAGGAGTGTCTCTGCTCATAGAAACCCTGCCTGCCCTACACGCCTGCCCAGGGCAAGGGCTCTGGCAGCTGGGGAACGAGGTTTGCAGGAGCTGCGGCAGGAGCAGGGAGAATGGCTTTGGAGGCAGTAGCGGCACTGTCAGAGAGCGGGTACATGAAATTTGGTGTTAGGTCCACTGTAGACTTTTGTCTTTTTTGGCAAGCCTGCTATTTCCCAGCCCTCTTCTCCAGTGTCCTTGTTTGTTCCCCCTTTTCCACCCTGAGTTGCCAGAGGGGGGCGGGAGGGTGGCCACCTCTCATTCCCTGTTTCTCCCTGACCTTCCCTCACCCCTGGTATGCTTTTCTGGTCTGGAGTTCATAGCAAACACATTGGAATTCCTACAACAAACCTACTTCCACTGCTGAGGTGTCACAGATAATTCATTATTCTGACCTGTAAGGAGTTACAGTCATAAAAAACAATTTTCTGGGTGATTTATCTTATTGGGGGAGATTCTAGATTGTTTACCACTTGAAGAAAGAGTCCTGGGTATGGATTAGAGCTTTGGGAAGATTTTATGATCAAACCCCCAGGTACCCTAATTCAGAGTCTGGACAGTATTCTGCTTGAAGTTACTGATGTCTCCAGCCACCCAAGTCGAACTTTCCCTTGTCCTGCCCATGGTTAGAAATCACCTCTAAGTTTCAGTGCCTGGTTAGTACTTACAATTCTCTCATCTTTGTGTCGAATCTGATTGGGAGGTCACAGACCATGGGTAGGTACTCTGATTCAGCCTTTTCACAAAATGGGTTATAATTCTTTTGCATGATGGGGGTGAGTAGATTTCAGCTCTTGACACAGTAGGACAAGAGCACCATGCTGGCTGGCAGAGCCCTAGGTGTGGTGGCAGCTCCTTCCCTGAAATGCTGAGAGGCCTTGCACAGAGCAGTTACCTTCTGAGCTTGTTTCCTCGTCTTCCAAGTGAGGGGGTTGGACCAAATGCTTCCTTCAGTGTAAACCATTGCTAACATCCCATGAAAACACACCCAGGGCTGGACTCAGGAGTGTGCACAGTCTTTAATCTCCCTCCTTGGAGGGCTATGAGACCATGGGCACCCCTGGGAGAAAGGCATGGTTAGGTGTCACTTTCTTAGGTGCTATGTTCCCTCCATACTTGTTCTAACTCTAATGAGACTTTCCACTGTTCTATCCTTTCTTTCAGGATTCCCTGACAAATTTTACAGACTTACTGGATGAAGAGTGCCTGAGAGACTGACAGTCAGCATTCCCGAAGATGGAGAAGACAGATGGTAGGCACACTGCTTTGTATTCCCTGGTCTAAACTGAGCACTTGGGTGGGAAAGGCACTGGTACCACAAATCCTGGAAATGGCCTAGGAGAGGCCTGCAGGAGACATTCCCCAGACAGCTGGTGCTGGGAGACGCAGATCATGTATGTCCTGGATGAACAAGAGAAGGTGGTAGGGAATGAGAATGAAGCCTTATGTGTATATCAGATGTGTTTTATTTTCAGAGTGTTTCCTCATCTTGTCCAAACACTGAGAAGGGAGCAGGGTGCTCTCCCTCATCACCCTCATTTCAGATCTGAAGAACTGTGAGGTCTAAGAAAGGGGCACAATATGGTGAAAGAGCCTCCATTCATACTGGGGTGACTCTGTAAGTCGTTAAACTTCTGTGAGAATCAGTTCCCTCATGTACCAGTTAGCTTTACTGCGTAACAAACCACGCAAACATTTATTGATTTAAAATGAAGATATTTTATTATATCTCAAAAAAATGATCCTGTGGTTGGATGGGCCATTCTGGTCTGGCCCAGCTTGACTGATCTTTTGCTGGGCTCCTTCACATGTCTGTGGTCTTCTGTTGACTTGGCTCGATGGCATAGAATGGCCACATTCCCACATCTGGTGGTGGATGCCATGTCACCTGGGGCACCAGTGAAGATTTGGCCCTGCGTCTGTCATCACCCAGCAGGCTAGCTGGGCTTTGGCCATGTGGCAGCAGAAAGGTTCCAAGCATGGCCAAGAGTAGACAAACCTAATGTGCCAGCAATTTTCAAGTCTCCTATATGGCACATTTGCTGTTGCTCACTGGCCAAAGCAAATTATAAGGCTAAGCTCAGAGTCAGGGTGGGAGGGGAGTAACCAAGGGTGGGGTATAACCATGGCGATTGCTGCAAACAGTCTACCACACCTTGACTATAAGCAGGTATTTGTGCTTCCTTCACAGGGCTAGTAGAGGACTAAGTGAGATAATGCATGCGAAGTTGTTGAGTAATAACTATCTAGCACAACAAATATCTTGATAAATGTTCCCCTCTTCCCTTCACCAGGAAGCTAATGGTCATAGGATAGACCCCGATCTCCTGACTTCCAATGAAATGCTTTTCCAGGTCACCAAATGTCAGAAAATAATAGAGTTTATAATCCCACTTGAATCACATGGCCCTTCACTGGCACAGGACTCAGGGACTAGACAGCAGCTGCAGCCCCATCTCTTCCTTCTTTGCAAATGCAGTCACCATGTATTTCAAGAGTCTGCCTTTCTCCCCAGAGAGATGCCTTTTCATTGCATCTCTGAAGGGGTCCCACAGAACACCGGCTAATTCCTGTAATGCCCCGGGGGCCTGTCCTTCCTGCCTGGGTCGCCCTGCCATACCCACAACTAGCCCAAGAAAGGCACCCCCCACCTCAGGCACTACCATCTCACAGAGCAAAGGCAGAAGAGGGAAAAAGCCTCCATCACTGACTTTTGAAGAGGCTCATTTAATTTCCTTCTTTCCAGCTTTATTTTTGGCCACTTCTCTCTAGTTTCTATTTTCCCATTTCCTTCCAAAGTAGAGTCTAGGCTTTTGGACTTTTCTTATTCACTTTAATGCCTCTGATTGGTTCAGTCACCTGCTGTACTTCACCTTGTTCCCCAAGGTAATTACTGTGACACCTCCCTCTTCCCTTGTCCCCTTTTTATCCCCTTACTCATCCTTTGTGTGACCCTTAGGCTCATACTTGTGTGTGTAGGTCCCTCCCAAGGACCTAGTGATCTAGTGTGCTTTCAGACGAAGGCTCTGTAGGGATTCTAGGGAGCCCCTGAGCCTCATATATCTTTTTTCTTCTCCTCTGACTCATTTTTCCAGTTTATCCAGAATTATTTTCTTGGACCCTCATTCCCTTTTGAGGCCATGGTCCTAACACAGAGTTAAATGTTCCAGGGAGAGAGCACCTCCTTTGAATCCTCCCCTGACCCCTTCAGAACCAGCCTGTCCTTGCCTCTGGCCCCTCTCTTGGGTCCTGTGCCATGTTCTCTGCCACATTAGTGTGAACACTCACAACTTTGTAAGTTAGGTATTATTATCACCACCTTGCAAATGGAGAAATTGAGGCATAGGGCTATTAAATAACTTGCCCAGAATCACACAGATAGTTGATGAGAGAGTCAGGATTCAAATCCAACAGTTTGCTTATGCACCAGTTTATCTGATCTGAAGTTCATTTGGAACAAAATCAGTCCACCTAATTAATTCTTGCCCTGGCCTAACACCTGGAATTTTGAGCTCCTGCATACCTGTCACCAGGTAAAATTAACAGGAGCAGAGCTTAGTGTGAGCATAGGTCTCCCAGCATACTGGATCAGGCTCCCTCATTCAAGGTCCAGCATTCTTCTTGCACTGGGAGAAAGAGGGAACTCAGAGTGCCAGGTGGTAGGCAGGGCAGCACAAAGGATCACTGTGTGTCGTGCTTTACAAATGAAGAGGTGGAAGCTCAGAGACGTTAGGTAAAATGGGTCACGGCCACACTGCCACAAAGAGACCGAGGTCCAAGGTGCCTGATTCCAAATTCATACACTTTTTAACCCACCATCTTTTCCCCAAAGAAAATAGTCTTTAATGTACATAGTGCAATGCCAAGCATGGAGTAGGTGTTCAATAAATCTTTGATAAGAGTAAAAAAAAGGATCACTGTGTGTGTGTGTATGTGTGTGTGTGAGAGAGAGAGCTACCCCACATATTAAACCTGCCACCCTGGAGAGCTGCTCACTCTCATGGACTCCTCTGGTTTCCTTCAGTCTCCCTTGTGGAAGATTTTGCCTTGAATCTGCTATTTCTTATTTGATGCTATTATTGTATTTGTGCTCTGGACCTGCTCCCAGAGATTGCTGGGTAAGTCAGCCTCTATTGAATTGAAGCAATAAGCAGATAAATAATGCAGCTTCTCCTTTAGGAGAGTGTTTTTTTACCTTCTGGGTCATACGTCTGTTCTCTACTTAACTTGAGACAAATATCCCCTCAGATTTGGCCTGTCCCTATAATCCAGGAGGCTGCCGAGTAGACCAGTAGGCCTAAGAATATAGCCAAGTTCCACTTGTAAAACTAACAAAGAGCAATTGCTCTCATTTCCTAAAACTACCAGTGTGCCTCTTTGGGGGAAAGCAGGTATGTAAAAAATTGTGTGGGTGACTAGGAATTTATTTGGGGATTTTTGGGTCCTGGAGGAGTGTTCACTCCTTATCCTCCTGAAGCCCAGGAATCTGCCACAGAAGCTCTGGACCCCACTGAGGACCATCCTGTGAACAAGCACCAAGGCCTCCTTCCTGCTCCCTACTCCCTGCTGTGGTTGTGGCGTAATTGCCCACAGGCTCTGCAGCCTTACTCGGAGTTGAGGCTGGTATGCTCGATTACTTCAGTGTTCGTGAGTTCAGCCTTCACGTGTCTGGTTGATTTCATCTAGTTCTTTGGAGATAACTGTACTTCCCTGAGCCCAGAAGGACATCTGACAAGCATGTGGCACTGGCAGGAAAGGTTAGGCAAGTGGGAGAGTGGGAGAGCTTAGCCCCAGTGTGTCACCACCATTAGGGGGAGAGCAGCCCAGAATGTGCCCCGGGTAACACCGTCATTTGCACCTTTCCCTCCTTTGCCTTTCGCTTCTCTTGCCTTGGCCATGTCAGCAGGCTCCCTACTGGCCTTTGGCCATCTGGTTCATCTTCCTCTAACCCTCTGCAAGAATGTTCTTTGTGAATTCACCCAGTCACTTCCTTACATAAAATCCCTCAGGAACTCCCATTACCTAGAGAGTAAAGACAAAGCTTGCTGGCATGCATACCGGTTTCTCAATGATCTGGCTCTTGGTGACTTTTCCAGTTGTGTCTTTTCCTACTCCTTACCCTGCCTACCACACTTTTAAGTTCCAGCCATATCAACTGTATGTAGAGGACCCTGAAATACTGTGGGATTTCACACCTCCATGACGCACATTCTCTGACATATATCTAGAATCTGTCCTGGTTATCTATTTCTGCATAGCAAACCACCCCAAAAGTTAGTGGCTTGAAACAATTAATACAGCCCAGCTGAGTGCTTCTCATTTGGAGTCCCTCCTGTCATTGAAACCAGAATGATGGCTGAGGCCAGAGTCCTGTGAAGGCTCCTTTACTGGTGCCTAGCACCAGGGCTCTGATAGCTGGAATATCTCGACTGGCTATGCTTCCTCTCTCTTTCTCCACGTGACTTCCCATGGGGCTGCTCGGGCTTCTTCAAGGCATGGTGGTGTCAAAGAAGTTGGACTCCTTATCTGGCATCCAGATTCCTGCTGAGTGTGCCTTCTAAGAGACCCAGATGGAACTTACAGGCTTCTTATGACCTAGCCTTGGGATTCTCTCAGCATCATTTCTACCATTTTCTTTTGGTCAAAGCAATCACAGGCCAGCCCTGATGCAAAGTGGTGGAGAAATACCCCACCTCTCAATGTGGGGTTCCCTTGCCTATCTAGAGAGGGTAAGAATTGATGGTGGCCTTTTTGGAGACAAATAGCTACAATGTCTTTCATCCTCTGATTCTTCCGTCAAGTTGTTACTAGTTTCTTTAATGCCCAGCCATTTGTCACTTTTGTGACCTTCTTCTTACCAAGGCAGAATTAAATTCCAAGTTGAAGAAAAATATTCTGGAGAAACTGGGAAAATAAGTCAAGGAGGAAGACTGTCCCTTGAGCATGCGTCTGCTTATCATCCTTGTCATACTGTATTGTGCTTGGTGTTTCTCCTACTTAACCATAAATTTTTTGAGGGCAGGGCTATACCTGATTCTTCTGTGTGCTCAAGTTCCAGCTTAGCAATCAACACATAGGTGCTTAGTAAATGATGGTTAAGGTAAGTGAACTGAATTACTATCTTTTGTATTTTGCCCCCAGGGCCAATTACCCTTAGAACCAACCAGTCAGTCAGTCACAAAGAATTAGTGGAGCCCCTGTGTACCCAGCAAATCAACCTCCATTACGGGGCTTCAGTTCTTCATATTTTTGCTTTCCACAAAGGTAATAACTACAATGTTAAGCATGAATTGAATGTTTATCATGTGCTGGACATTGTTTAAAGCACTTGAGGTGTATTAACTTATCAGTCTTCACAATAATCTCATCTTACTGTTATTATTCCCATTTTATAGATAATGAGACACAGGAAGGCTAGCTAAGTAATTTCTCCAAGGTCACAGAACTGAAATATAGACCAGGCTCCAGAGTTTGTATTCTTGGTCTCTGTGCAGACCATTCATGTTCTCTCCTGAGCTCAGCATGTTCAGAGCATGTTTATTTAGCAGAATGTTACTGAGATAATAAGGGGCATCACATGAGGGACTCAAAGGAAAAAGACTGTTTAACCTAAAAAACATGGAGATAAGTCCCTATGGATTCAAATAGTCAAAGGACTGGCTTGTTCTCTGTGAATGATATTTTCTTACTCGGCAAGAGATTTTGAAAGTAAAATTCATGTTTGTTAAGTACTAAGCAGTTTTCAGGTGGAAAAGAGCATGGCTGTGCATGATTTCCCAATTCTCTCTGATCTTCATGTACCCAAAGTCTCAGGCATCTGAGGAAGCTTAAATAATGTAGAAGGCGTAACTCCTTGGTATCTCTGGCTTCAGCAAGATTTACTAGTACTTAGTTGAATAATGCAAGGTTCTTTCTTAAAGTGGAGACAGTTGTGCATCTTATTCTTCAAAACCTTCCATTTCCATAGGTGCCATTTAGCACCGTGATCTGGCAAATTCCTGACCACTTCAGTTGTCAATTACATGGCTCAAACAAAAAAAAAAAACAGTCTGAGACTATTTTATTTTACTGGTCTGCAGGCAGATTCCACATTAGTAACTAAGATGACATATTGCAAATTAGAAACTATTCCTTCTACCTATTTTCTTGCAGACATTAGCTAAGTACACATTGATTTAATATGATTGCTCAGCATAGCCAAAAGACTGTGAGCATCTCAACATAATTTAGACCTTGGAACATTTAGGAGAAGTCTCACATGAGAGAGTTAAGTCAAAATCACAGATATTAGGCCTCGCCACTCTCTGATTCTTATTAACGATGTGCTTCTTTCCTACATGTTCTATGTCTTCCAGCCAGAGACCAGTCCTCCCATGGTGATGAAGAGAAAGCCCCTCCAAAGAGCCACCCCTACTCCGTGGAGACCCCGTACGGCTTTCATTTGGACCTGGACTTCCTCAAGTATGTGGACGACATTGAGAAGGGAAACACCATCAGAAGGATTCCTATCCACAGGAAGGCCAAGCAGGCCAAGTTCAGCACCTTGCCCCGCAACTTCAGCCTTCCTGATGGCGGGGCTCGCCCCCATGCCACTCTTCCCTACCAGAGCTGGGCCCCAGTGGTGACAAGGAAGGTGTCGCTAGGGACCGAAGAGAGAGCCCAGTCAGTGCCGCTTGGGGATCACACCCAAGCTTCCGCTGGCGACAGTGAATTGAGCTACCACAGGAAGGCCCTGCTGGCCGAAACCGCCAGACAGCTGGAGGCTGCTGCCCCCAGGGAAGCTGAGCTCACCTCCGGGAGTGGACGGCCCCAACTTCTGAGAGCGTCCAGCATGCCAGCCGCACTGCTGCAAAACAGGGCCTCAGAGGACCCAAGCCTAAACTCAGGTCACCCTCCACCCCCTGTCCTCCCTTCACTGCAGGGCGAAGGCAGCTTCTGTGGGGGCACCTTTGGCCCCGCAGAAGGATTTGCAGGTTTTCACAACTCCACTCCACGAGCAGAGACCCAACCAAAAGTCAGAGAGTTTGGAGACCTGGTGCCAGGGATTCCAGAGCTGGTACGGGAGGGGGCTGAGTCTCCAGAAGGTGAAGAAGGGGCTCCAGATCATCTCTCTTTCCCAAGTCCTCCTTTCTCACCCCAGAATGCACTTGTAGTTCTAGAAGGTGCAGAGGATGAACACGAAACCAGAGAAGCTGAGGTGGTGGTCTCTCCGGGGTCCCCAACACCAAGTCCCCCGCCTCTGCCATCACCCATTCCTGAGAATGAGCTCCCCCTAGAAGAAATTGAGCTCAGCATCAGTGAGATCCCACCCCCGCCACCTGTGGAGGTAGACATGAGAAGCATCGGAGTCCGGGTCACGGAGGAGAGCCTGGGCCTTGCCTCACTGGATCCCAGCAGCATCTCCAGCCTGAAGCAGCAGCTCTCCAACCTTGAGGGCAAGTTGTCTGGAAGAACTGAGGAGCTGGCCCAGGTCAGAGCTGCCCTCCAGCAGCAGGAGGAGGAAATCAAGGCCAGAGGCCAGAGGATTCAAGAGCTGGAGTGCACTGTAGCTCAGTTAGCAGAAAAGCTGAGCCGTGAGCACTCCAAAGATGCTCAGAGCCAGGCTGATGCCACGGTCAACACTGACCCTCTCCAGGGGCCCTTGACCAGGGAGTCATGTGACAAGAGCATTGGGGTCAACCTTCTGGGCAGTACAGGATCTGAAAGCCGGGGGGCTGGAGGAGAGGAGAATGGCCTCCCGCGGGGGCAAGATGGTCACAAATGGGGGGGTCAGAGCCCAGCAGAGCTTGTGCCACCACCGCAGCTGTCACTGCCGCAGGGACCTGAGATGGTCCTCACCCCCTCTTTACATAGCTGCCTGTCCACGGAGCTCAGGATTGAAGAAGCAGGCCCTCAGCAGGAAGGAGGCCCCCAGGTGGGAGCCGAGGGTCTGGCCAGGAGAGCAGGAGGCTGTCCAAGGAGCAGCGACAGAAAGGCTCCTCCAGCAGGGAGGGAGGAGGCCAGGTCAGAGCTCCCAGGGAAGGAGCGCCCGGGAAGGCCACCCAGCTCGCCCACAGACGCCACTATTGGGCAATACGTTAAGAAGATCCAGGAGCTCCTGCAGGAGCAGTGGAGCTGCCTGGAGCACGGGTACCCGGAGCTGGCAAGCGCCATCAAGCAGCCCGCCTCCAAGCTCAGCAGCATCCAGAGCCAGCTGCTGAGCTCCCTCAACCTGCTGCTGTCTGCCTACTCAGCCCAGACTCCGCCCCAGAAGGGGCCCCCTGCCCCCTCTTCCTCTCCACCAATGGGTAAATACTGGTGTCCGAGACAGGGAACCATTTCTCCTTTCCGTGACAAGTCAAAGGGAAAAAGGGCTTTAACTGCATGCGCATGTTTTTAGAAGATTTAAGCATCTGCAGAACCCAGTGGAATAAAAACTGATATATTTAACAGTGGCAGCTCTGTATCCCTACTATTGTCCTTGCTCTAAGGTTGGGACTGACCGCAGGGCCACCACATACAGCTAGCTGTACAGGTAGCACAAGGTACAAAGATGCCTGGCAGAGAGGGTAAATGGGAGCTGAAATCTAGCTCACACTTCATTTGCCAAGCCTGCAGCCCCGTGTCCACCCAGAAGGGGGCCTTTTTCTCATTTGCATTGCCCAAAGGCAAAGTCTAGGGGGAAGAATGTCCCTGTCTGTGTCTGCTCTAAACCTCTGCTTCCCTTCATTGCTTCCTGGGCTTGCATTCCTGCGGTCCTGTTTGGTTCTTGCATGTTAGGTTTTCCCTAGCCTGGTTTTGTGTGTGCGTGTGTGTGTGTGTGTGTGTGTTTGTAAAATAGGGTGTTACTTGTGGAAGTCAAACCTTTGGCTAAGCAGCACTTCCTCTTGTAACAGATCATACACTCTTCTCTTTTGAGTAAAGTGAAACCATATTTTGCTTTGCTCAATGAGCAGCATGAGAGCCGGCTTCCTGTCACAGATCACAAATTGGTGGCTTTCTCGTTATTTCGGCACTCGCTCTAGTCTTGCCCAGTGGGAGATGCTGGCTGTGCCTTTGAGCACAGCAAAGAAAGACTTGTGCTCTTGCTCCTGTGCCTGCAGTGCCTCCCCGACATCACAGTGTCAGCTGGCATGTGAGCCAGGAAGGACCTCCAAGGTGCCCTTAAGCAGAGGTGGGTGCTGGACTGGGAGTCATGTAAAATAAGTTCTTCTCCTGTTCTGCCATTCACTGAGCAAGTGTGAGCTTCAGATTTCCCAGCCGTAAGATAGGGGCAACAGTGACACATACCACATGGCTGTTCTGAGAGATTGTTCCCAAAACTCTACTCTAGATCCACACAGAGGCTTTGGGAACAGCGACAGTTTGACTGACATTGACCAGGAGGCTGGGCCTCCTCAAAGACCCTCAAAATAGTACATTTATGTTATCTAGTTCCCTGCGCTTTTCTACCTTCAATCTGTATGCCCTCAAAGCAAGTTTTGCTGCATTCTGGGGGATCCCCAAGATCATTCTAACCTGTGATGTTGTGTCTGCCTAGAGATCTCCCCGTCGACCAGCCTTAAATCCATAATGAAAAAGAAAGACTATGGCTCCCGTGCAGGAGGTAATGGGACCAAAAAGAACCTTCAGTTTGTTGGGGTTAACGGTGGGTAAGCATCGCTCGTGAAGCCCAGACTGCCCTCCACACTTCTATCCCACTGTTGCCCTTCGCTTTCTCTTTCCCTAGGGGGAAGCATCTGGTTTTCATTCTTCTTCAAGGGAATTAACCTCAAGGGTCCTTTAAAGCTCTATCTCGGGTTTGCATGTGTGTGTGGCTCCTTGCCAGCTCCAGTTGTCTGTTGGATCCTGTGCTTTTAAGGGGGCCAGGGTTCCAGGGGGCTCTGGGGAGTTTGGGGAGAACATGGGACCTTTAAGGAAGAAATTTAATCTGAGCCACAACACTGAAACTGGGACAAACTCTTAATTTGTTATACTTGAGGTTTCATCCATTTAATTCTTTTTCTTCCTTTTACTAACTTACTGCCCACCAAATCAGCATTTTCTAGACTGAAGAAAAACAACTAATGTCTGTTGACTCAGAGCATGAAGCAAACTTTACATAGTCCAGAGTGGAAATCTTTGGATTTAGAATATTTTCTACATCAGTCATTCAACAAACATTTATTAAATGCCAACAATGTGTTAGGTGGTGGGGATAAAAAAAACTCAAATAAGTCATGGTCCCTGCCTTTAGTTCACAGTTTGGGCACAGGCAGAGATAAGACAAGAAGGGAAAATGCTGGGATGCTGAGATGAATTCCAGTAGAGAAGGAATGTGGGATGCTGTGGAAGGGTACCCGCCCAGCCGGTGGTGGGCCCAGGAGGCTGCCTTAAACACCTGCTAATTTAGGTCAGACCTGAAAGAAAACACCAGATTCAAATAAGGGTGAAGTTGCTGTTGTAGGTCCTGTGAGGGAATTGTCAGGACTGAGGACACGAGATTTCATGGAATTGCTGTGCCCACTCCCGCTCCTTAAGGTCAGACACTGTGACCCGAGGAGAAGCCACTTTATTTTGAGCTTTCACCAGTTCAACTACAGAAAAGAAATTAAGCCTAATCTCAAAGTCAAAAGCAGGACCTATTTCTCCCGCACTTAAATGGCCTGAATAGACCCACTCTGTACCGAAACCTGGAAGTCTGTCTCATGGCTGTAGCCTGCCTCATTCTTGCCCGCTGGCTCTTGCCTTTCTTCCCTCAAACTTGCCTACTTAGGCCCCCCTTGGGGCCTTTGCATTTGCTGTTCCCCTGCTCACAGTGCTCCTTTCCCATAGGCCTCAGTGTTTGTCACTGAGTGCGCTGGTTCTCAGACTTGACTGCATCTTAAGAACTCTGGGGGAGCCTTAGAAAATACCAGTGCCAGGTTTGCCTCCCTGAAGACCCAGGCTTAATTAGTCTGGAGTGCACTACAGGTATGGGGAATTTTAAAACAACCTCAAAGATTCTAATGTGGAGCCAAGGTTAAAACCTTCTGCTCTAGTCACCTCCTTCCATTACTCTGTCCCAGGACCCTTTATAATTTTATTCATTGTTCTTATCACTACCTGAAGATGTTGGGTACATGTTTATTTTCTGCCTGACCCTACTAGATTTAAGCCAAAACAGGAAAGGGACTTTGGTGTGCATTTAGAACAGTGGCTGGCACATAGTAGGTGATCATAAATGAATAAATGAATGAACTTCCAGATTAAGATTTTATGGAAGCAACTCTAAGATGAGAACTATATTTGTAAATGTAATACATTCCCTATTCTTAATGATAAAAGCAGAAAATTTTTCTAAGCACAATAGAGGAAAAAGTATCTGGATTTTAAACAAGATGGAATGTGAGTGTACCAGCAAGCAGGCTGGGTTTGTAAATCCAGTGAGCATAGGGGCTGTATGTAGGGGACACACACCATTCAGAGAAAGAACATGAGAGAATTCAGTGGAAGCCGTGGCCACTGGGCTCCCCTGGTCTCTGGCAGTGTCCAGTGGCTCCAGAACCTGAAATCTTCATCTTAGCCACAGCATCCTTCATCTGGAGTCTGCTACTGATCAACAGCAGAGGGATTGATGAGTCTTCCATGGTCTCTGATTTACCACACCCACAGAGTCACATGTAATTGAATGTAAAGATCATTACTGGGGAGGGAGGGCTATGAGTCAAGTGGCCCGTGCCCTCCCTCACTTGTGCTGGTGCAAGCAGTAGTTGAAACGGGCTGCAGCTGAGAAAGGCAGATGTCGGGTTAAGGTATCCTGAACCCGAACGCTGCTGGGAGCAGACAGAGGTGGTTCCTCCTCATTGGCTGCAAGCTGGGCTTGAACAGGGGGCTAAAGGGAGGTCTTACAGTCAACCAGAAATGTGACTTGTCAGGCAATTCAGAGAACTCTGGGTTGGGGTGAGGAACATTTGCCTAGATCGGGCCCCAGTATGGACAGGACATTAGGATTCCAGAAGCAAATCCTTTCCTGAGAACCTTGAATTGCCTGTCTGGTAACGCCTCGGCCAGTCTGTGTGTTTGCTGCAAAGAGTTTAGTTAATTATCCCTTCTTCCCAAATGGCCCCTGGAGTCAGAGCAAGAGCTCTTAACCACATGTTTCTCTGACACTAAGGGTCCTGGGAGTCCCCTCGCCCAGGGCTGCAGGTGTAGAGATTGGAGGATTTGGCTAGCAAGCTGAGAAGTGTTATGCAAGCCCACCTAGTTCTCATTCATGCATTGGGCAGGAAGCTGAGAACCAGTGACCCTTGTCTCCTTCTCCAGCTACGAGACCACCTCAAGTGAGGAGACCAGTGGTGAGGACAGCTCCCCGGAAGACTTGTCTGACAGTGAGGCTGAGAAGAAAGGTGATGTCCCAAAACACAGGCGGGACAGGAGTGCCCACCCCAGCTGCAGGGCGGGGCAGGGCATCCCCGAGGGCACCCACAGCACAGGCCGGGACAGCAGGCCTGGGGAAGAGCTCCCCTACCCCAGGGCTGAGAGGTGAGTCCAAGGGCACAGGTGGGGGCACTGATCTCTCGGAAGGAGCAAGGGCATTTATTTGTTTGATCGCTCGTCCGTCCATCTGATGCCCGGGTTCTTGTTCACGAAGCCGAAGAATGAGCTTCACTAAACTCCTAAGGTAGGAGAGCAAGGTACAGGCTTTTATTTAGAAATAAAGTGAGAGAATAGAGCTCCTGGCTCACGCCAGGAGGGGACAAGAGAGCCTTGTTAGTGGTGTGTTGTCTAGGGGGTTTTATAGGCAGTTGAGGATTTTTTGAGAACATTAAAAAAACTTAGGGGTGAGGACTTGTTAAGTGGTCCCTGAATATTTAGAATTAACACAAGCAACTTCCTGCTCTGATGATTTCTCTGAGATACCAGCATCTTGGTCTGGGGGCATATGAAACAAGGCTACCTGCTCAGCCCCCAAGGTGGGCTGAGGCATTGTTTGCTAAAGAGTAAGTTAAGAATTTCTAACATCTTAACTTCTTGGGTATTAAAATGCAATCTTATCTTTAAGGTGGAATCTTTCTTGCCTTTTACTGTGTTGTTTATGCCTGGGCTTACTTGCTAAATTAGTTGCCCAGTTTGCAAAATTACTTCATCAGATCTGAAGGAGGAAAGAGCACATAGGCCTGGGCCTTTTAGCATGTTAAAGTGAATCTTACACATGATTATAAATGGTTAGCATAATAAAACATTGCTACTCTTCTTTATCTGGGGAACATTAACTGATCTCACTGAAGAATGATTCTAGAACTTAATGTTTAACATAAGGGTTTTAGTAGGGGGATTTCCTTGCATGTAGTTACATTACTCTGACTGCAAATATCCCGCCCTGCCCCCTCCAGAGGCCCTCACTTTACTCTGACTACATCCACGGTCCCTGTCTCACATCTACAATATTTATTGAGTTTCTGATCTATGCAGTAGGCTAGAATCCAACCAGCACAGGGCACAGTGTCACTCCTGCCTTCCTGGGGTACACTGCCATAGACAGAGCACAGCAAGCAAATCTAACATCGTCCTTGCACTGGAAGTGTGAAGGACTTTACATGTATTATCTCATGGAAGCCTTTTCACAATCTTACAAGCTAGAAATTAGTATAATCCCCACGTCACAGATGTGGAAACAGATTTAGAGAAGTTAAGTGACACAACTAGCAGAGCAGAGATTCCGACCCAGGTCTTTTCTGATTCCTGTGCACGCACTTTCCTGCCTCTCTCCGTGGCCGTGCTAATGTCACTGTTTTTTTTTTTTGAAGTGACAGGAGGTCATGGGGCATGATGAAAAGAGTACTGCCTTTGGAGGTGGACACTCTTGGATTCTAATCCCACGTCTGCTATGGTGTCACTTTACACAGGGTACTTAAACTGTGGTCGCCCCAGTTTCCTCATCTGTAAAGCATGGATAATTGCAACCTGATAGATTTGGTCTGAGGACTGAGAAAAAGCATGTAGAAAGCCCAGCACAGTGCCTGCCACATAGTAGGTGCTCAATAAATAATAGATGTGCTAATAGTAAGTCCCCTTGTCATCGTCGTCACCCACAGCCCGGTTGCTGGGGGAGGGACAGGCAGAGTGTGGGAGCTGGTCCGCAATGCTCTGCGGAGCCCTGCGACCTGGCAGCAGTCTGCGGACACAATGACAGACGGGAGCTTGCCGGTGTCCAACACCGCTCAGTCCCAAACTGGGCCTCTCCATGTCTGCCCTCATACTGACACAAGAAGATCACCTCTTGCAAGAGCGCCCCAGCATCATCGATTTTAATTTTACTGAGTTTATTAGCACTTAGGGTGTCCTTCATGGGCGAACAGTCTGAAGGCATTTGCCGGTATGGACTGGGTTCTTTGGACTTTTCAAGTCATTCAGACAGAAAATGTTTGATCCAAAGTCAGAAGGACAATCCTCCCTTTCCCGGCATTTCAGGAATTGCAGCTGGGCCCAGAATGCCCTGGGGATCTGCCCCTACCCCCTGACACCTGCAGGAGAAAAAGGGCAATGTGCCTGACTCACTCTGCAGAAGATTCAGAAGCCAAGCCTCGCCGTCAGGAGGCTGCAGGCACTCAGGGGCCTGAGGCGTGCACCTTTTCCCTGGGAAGCACCTTTTCTCAGGAAGGCGCCCGGCTGCGTGTTTGAGGCACTGAGCAGTGGGAGGAGAGCAGAAGTCAAGGTAGCTGATCACCTTTTTTATCACACTGATACATTTACATATATATTTTTTTCTTTAGATTCAAACCCTCAGAGGAATTCCTTAACGCATGCCGGGCATTGAGCCAACATCTGCCAGAAACTGGGAGCACCACCGACCTACCCTTGGTACTCTGATTTTTCATTGTCATGTAAAGATTTCTGTACTATTTAAGCTGTTAGCTCGGGCAGGTGGCTCTGATCCCTTGCCGGAGACAGTAGTGGGCTGCTGAGGGCACGCAGGACGCGGCTGCCTAAGGGGATGGGTTACACTGAGAAGGCAGGCTGGATCCATGTGCACCAGAAGGCAGGCTGCTGCTCTGAGACATTTCCCCCGCGTTTGTAGACATCGCTCCCTGAGTAGTCATAAAACTATCTGTGGCTTAGGCTCAAAATTGCCTCACAATTTGAGAGAACTGTGGGTGGAGTGGAAAAGAGCATTGTGGCATGGGATCTGTGGGTTTTTATTCCCAGGACCGCAGTCTGTGAGACACGGAGGCCATTCAGTGCTCAAGGCCTCAGTTTCCTCATTAACAAAATGAGGGTGGAGGGCGGCAAATCCCTTACCCGCAAACCCCAGCATTGAATGCTGTCGTCTTTAACTGTTTTTCTTGACGTGACCAAAAACAAGAAAATACATCTGTTTATTCCTTAATGCCTTCAGGGCCCGTGGAGATTTAAACATATAAACATTAAATTTTACTTTTAATGAAGAGACACTGGCACAGTTTTGAGAGCAACTGGGAAGACCCACAGTGTAACAGGTTGTAAGGATTTTTAAAGCCCATTTAGCTTTCCTTTGCAGAAGAGCTTTAGGAGTAAAAATGATCAGTTCAGCCCAGCATTATTATTAGTTTAGCTGATCTGACAAAGAGCTGTTTCTAGATTATTAAAGAACCAATATGTGATGTGAATGCTGATCAAAACTCCTGTTTCTTTAATGAGTTACAGAGCTGTTATTTCTCAGCTCTTTATTAAAATCTGTGCTATGTTTCTTAATGCTAGAATCTTTCTCCAGATTCTCCTGAAGATTCCATTGGTAAAGGAGATATTCTGATATATATATATAAAGTGTTTCAGTCACAAGAGATTCCACTCTTTCTGCCTAGAAAAGCAATTGGAGGGTATGCAAACCTGCCCCCACACCCATGTTAGGATCAAAGCACAGGACTCCCTTCCCCACCTTAGAGACAAAGCAGGTTGTAAAAAGAATTCACTCTGTAGAGCCATGGAAGGTTAGGGAGCAGGCCCTTTTGCACCTCCATTTTGCAGATGAGACAAGTAAGGTTCAAAGGGTTATATGACTTTGAGAGTCTTATGGCAGAGCCAGAACGTAAGGTAGGCCACAGTGGTTTAGTGACTCCAAATCCAGTGCCCTTTCCAGAATGCGTATAAAATCATTTGTGATAATCACATCCTCAAGTTTTCTCCTCCCCTTTATATAAGTAGTCTAAACATGTTCTATTTTAAATACTTAGGTCATGTCACAACCAGAGTGGAAGTCATTCTCTCCTCATTCATGGCTCCAAAGGAGCTGAAAACTGCAGTGGGGGGAATGCTGCAGGCAGGGGGGAAGTACTGCAGACAGTGGAGGGAATATTGCAGGTAGTGGGGGTAGTACTATAGATAGTGGAGGGAATATTGCAGGTAGTGGGGGAATGCTGCAGACAGTGGTGGGAGTACTGCTGGTGGTTGGGGGAATGCTGCAGACAGTGGAGGGAATATTGCAGATAATGGGGTTCTGCTTTGCATTGTCAAACCATTTTCTCTGAAGTGCTTAGCAAACTTTAAAAGCTAAAATAATTTGAGCACAGATCTTTGGATTTTGTTTCAGATATAAATTGGGCACCTTGTTTGTCTTAGCTTGCAGCATGCATTTTTTCATTAGTAAAATGTCACTTTCCAGCTATGCCTATTAAAAACACTCAGCGTCTAAGGTCAAGTTAGGCTGGCCATATGCACATCACAGAGAGGGTCTTGGATATCCAGTGCATATAGGAATGTGACCGAAACTTATATAGACTCCAACTGTCACTTACTAAAGTATTTTGTTACTAGTTACTGGGAGCGCAGTCCTCCTTCCTACCCCACATGGCAGCCAGTCTCACAGGTTCAAAGTATATTGAAGCATCCCCAGACCCACTAGCTCTGAGCCCTCCAGGGTAAGTCACATGGAAAGCTGGAGGGAGCTGAAGGGATAGAGGTGGAAACATCCAAAGCTGCCTTTTTTTAGTGGAAGCTAACACCTGAACCGGAGCACCCCAGGCTGGGTAACCTGCAATTGGAATCTCCTGATATTTCAGAGGCAAAGCTTGAACACCATCAGTCAAGAGTGGTTCCGCGTCTCTAGCCGGAAGTCGTCCAGCCCTGCTGTGGTGGCCGCCTACCTCCGCGGGGTCCAGCCTCACTCCCCACACTTCCTAAAGCTGCTTGTCAACTTGGCTGATGGCAACGGGAACACAGCCCTTCACTATAGCGTGTCCCACTCCAACTTCCCCGTCGCGAAGCTGCTGCTAGAGACAGGTCAGAAATGGCTGCCTCTGTACAGTCTGCGGCCCTCCTTGAAGGGCAGCTCTTGTACCCACTTCTCTCCAGCAAAGGTTCCACACTGTTCTGAGGTCCTTCTGTATCCTAGGAAGTGGACTAGACCGTTTTGCCTTTATTGTATCATTTATTCCTCACAACACTTTTGTGATGTAGGTATTATTATTCTCACGTGGCAGTTTAGGAAGCTGAGGCTCAAGAGTTATAAAACTGCTCAGGTCACAGTGCTGGAAAATGGTAGAGTCAGGCTTTGTATTCTGTCTAACCCCAGAGTTATATACCACACTGCCTCTGGGAAAGGTCACACTTTACCATCTTCTTAAGTACTTTTTAACAAAGGCAATGGCTCCATTTGATCAGCTGGACTCATTTGATTCATTCATCCTTTATCAGATATCTGTGGACTGTGTACCAGGTCCATACTGGCTACAACCAGAGACACAAAGGTGAGCCAGTGGGAGGCCTCTGCTTCTCGGGAGCTTACACCCTGACAGTCAGGGTGGAGCAGGATGATGGCTCACAAGAGGGAGGTACAATGTGGGATTTCAATCTCAGAAGAAGTGAGATCATGCCCTGTTCAGGGAGCAGGAAAGGTGCACTGAAGCGGGTAGATTCCCTAGACAGAGAAATGTCCCAGATGGAGACAGCCCCAGGGAGGTGAAGAGAGGAAAACCTGGAGACCAATAGGCTTATGGTTTGATAAGGATGGGAATTCAGGTTGGGGCGGTAAGTTGGCACCACAGTGTGGGGGACTGAAGGCCAGGCTGAACAGCGGGAAGCATGTCTGGAAGGCCCCAGGCAGTCAGTACAGGGTTTTGAGTAGGGGAGCACCCTAAGCACGTGAGTTCTCTATAAAGGTTAATTTGGTGATAGGGGCAGGGTAGTGGAGGAAAAAGGGGCAGGAGGTGGCAGGCCAGACAGGAGGCCACTGTGGCCTTGCAGCAGAGTGTAACAGTATCAAGCAGCTGAGGAGCTACAGTGTGGCAGGTGGGTGCTGGGGATGACTGAAGGAGTGTGGATCCTGCTAGAATGTCACCTGAGTGTAGGGAAGTTGTGTGAGCCATAGCTAGAGGTATACAAGAGGTATGAAACTCCAAATGGTTTCCAGAGATGAGGCCCTCTGCTAAGCGCTTGGCATATGAGATCTCATTAATTAATTAATATCATTAATTAATCCTGGCAATGACCCTATTAATAGGGAGGGTCATCCCTGTTTACAGATGATGAAAAGGACACTCAGGAAAGTCAACAGACTTTCTCAGGGTCACATGATGGCTTGGTGTGTTGCTGGGGTTTGAAATCAATACCTTGAGCTGTTGGCATTCCTGACATCCAGGAATTGGAGCACATGCTAGATCAGTGACCGTTTTTTAAACAGGGAGTTTAAGCGGGCATCACGAAGTCTGAATTCCCGATCCCACACCTTGGATCTTGTCTACCCTGGCTGAAATCCCTTGCCAAGCTTCCCACTGCTCTTCGAATGGAAGGCGGCTCCCTGGGCCTGGCCTCAGGAACCCTGGGGGGCCTGGCCTCAGGAGCCCCAGGAGGCCTGGCTCTTGCCTGCCTTTGCCATCCTCTGCCACCACCATGCACCCGCCTTCCCTCCACTCCAGGCACATGGCCTCAGGCTTTCCAAGCTCATCCCTCCTTGGGGCCATTGCATTTCCTTTCTACCTGGACTTTTTTCCCTGAAACTTTTCTCATGTCTGGCTCCTTCTCCTCATTCAAGTCACAGCTCAAATGTCACCTCAGAAGGCTTCCTGGTGTCCCCATCTAAAGAGGCTGCCCTGTCTTTCTCTCTAGGGAAACACCCTGTTTCTTTCTTCAGATGATTTTTCTTGTCATTTCTACTTAACAGGACTCTGCTAACTCAGTCAAAGGGAGCCCTTATCTGTGTTGTTCCTTTCAGCGTCCCCAGTACCTATACAGTTCCTGGCTCAGGGTGGGTTTTGAGTGAACATATCTGTTAAATAAATGAGTGAGTGGATGAGTCCTGGGAGCTCAGTTAAATACCAGAAAGCTTCCATTTTTCCAAAATTCTGTTAGCAGCCTTGAGGATTTCATCTGAATGGGTAGGTAATGTACATAATGACAGCCTAAAATTCTTCCTGCTTCCCTCATCATCACAGGAAGATGAAGTTACAATTCCAACACTGAGCCCATTTTCCTGGATTTCAGATCTTGCTTGATGCATGGATACCATGAAAGTGGTAGCTCAGGTGAGAAAGGCACATGACTAAATGGAGCATCCCTCTGGGTTCTGCTCACTGTGCTCAGTGTTAGGGGCTTTCATTATAGCCCATAAATAGCAAGAACACCTACTGCTTTTTGAGTGCCTTCCCCAACCCAGACACAGTACTACACGACATGTGCACATTGCAGGGACTGTGATACAGATACTAAGTGCATTTTCCAGCTGAAGCTCAGAGAAGCAGGTAATGTAGTCAAGGTCACAGAGTCCTTAAGTAGCTAAGTCAGAATTCTAGCCATCATCTGTTGCTACTCAATCTGGGCTTTTTCCACTATCCCAAACCAGGTTTCATGGGCACTCTGAGACCTTGGGAGCACCTGTTACATGCATGAAGAATGCAAGGCCCAGTAATGCAGAGCTCTCATCTTTCACAGCTCACACACTTGCAGCCTGTTAGCTCTCCAGGTGGGGCAGTCTGGGCCAGAGAATGGACAGACTAAGATTGGGAGTTTCTGCTGATGTTGACTAAGAACCAAGTCAATACTTGTCAACCCTAAAATGGTTTGAAAGCTTTTCCCTTTAACATCCTGAAATAGCTAAATAGCCGTAAGCCTGAAGTATCAAGTGGGGTAGAGAGAATGGGCTGAAAGCACCATTACTTCCCCTCTCTGTAGCAGGGTGTTGAGGAGAATAGATCCTCACATTCCCAATCCTGGGCTCCCTTCCCAAGGCAGTTATTAAGCATCCAAAAGACACTTTACAAACTGTAATGGGCTGCACACAAGTAACTCATCATAATTGAGAATAGAGCCAGCAGGTGCACCTCCACCAGCTTAGTCTTTTGTGATCCCTCCTTTATTTTGCCTGAGGCCACTGCAGAGCCGGAAGCTAGTTGAGTCTGGAGCATGCTCAGTCAAAAGCCTTTCCCCCGGCCTCCAGGGAGGATTGGCTTGCTCCCTGGTGCTGCTCAGAAGCATCTGCTGTGAAAGCCCTGGATCTTCATCCCTTTTCCCCAGCCCCGAAGGAGGAAGCAATCCTCACTCTAGTGAGCTATAAGCCATCTTTCTGAAGAGAATAAAGAGAACCATAACCTGAAGCTTTATACATCTCTTAAAAGCAAACATAAAGTAGTCATGGAGTAAAAATTAAAAAGTCATTAATGAAGCAATGCAAATATTCCTGTCTTTATCAGGACAGTTTGTGAGGTGAGGCATAAGGTTATTATATAGCCTTCAGAGCCCAGCTGGTCATGACAGTGGTCAGAGGGGCCTCAGGGAGGAAATCCTGAGAAATGGTCAAAACCGATTTTTCTGGAACCACTGCATCCTTTTATCACTATGACACATTTCTGAAGGATTGTCTGGGGTGTGGTGGAGGGAACATCAAACAAATATTGATCTTTTTCCCTTCCACAGAACTTATATGTTGCCCTAAGGGACATTTTTTCATAAACCAGATTTGTTACAGTGAATACCTAAGTTTTCATGAATAAGGAGCAAGGACAGAAAGGCAAAAATACTATGCTGGACAATAGCAGTAATAATAGTAACCCTTATTGAGCATTTACTATGTGCAAGGTGCTGTTCTAAATGCTTTTCATATATTAACTCACTAAATTTCATGGTAACTCTATAGGTCTTGTTCTTATCCCCCATTTACTGAGGAAAAACTAAGAAAAGATAAGTGACTTGATCTTCTGAGATAGTTTTATTATTGCCCAAAAGAGACATCTGGGATTTGGGGATAAGCAACAGTACAAGGAAGATTTAATTTTACAGTGCACCCTGAGGAGGTGGGGTCCTTTACATAACAGATACGGGCTGATAACCTTGACTCTCCTTCTCCTTTGGTGGAGAGGGATATGAATGCATATCCCCAGGGTTACAAAGCAGAAATTTCTTTTGAGTTCTCATTTAACATTTCATCAGAAAATATGTCAGCTTTTCATTCCATTGTGAAATGTGTATTCTTAATTGCTTTAATATAAAAATCTATCAAGCTTTTCCCCCCTGTGTTTGTCAAATGAATGGTCATTCCTGACAGATAGCCTATGTTTATCCTGTGACATTTTCCATGCCCCCTGGTACATTGCACAACCTTTCATTAGGCCTTTGGAAAAGACCTGCAATCATAGCCATTGGCTTAAGAGTTACACACAGACAGAGAGAACATGAAAATGGAAATGCACAGCTGTGCACGACATGTTCCTGGATGAGCAGTGGGCTCTAGAGCCACAGACCTGAGTCCTTGTCTCATTTCACCTTCACTTTGGCTATTTATGTAGCTTCAGTGTCCTCATCTGTAGAGTGGGAATGATGTGTGCTTGGTCATTGGCTCCCCATTGGCCATCTCTGACTCTACTGCAGACTTTCCTTGCTGGGTATCCTCAAGTTGTAAAGGCTACCGCAAATGTAAAACATTGATTACACTACCAGGAAAGGACTGCTCTATTCTGTGGCCTTTGAGCCAGCAGGCAGCATCCTGTTGAACAGGGTAAAGCAGTCTTGCCTCATGCCCCTCCGGAGCTGTTCCAGTGCTCGTTGCTCCTCTTGCAGGCGTCTGTAATGTGGACCGTCAGAACAAAGCTGGCTATACTGCAGTGATGATCACTCCCTTGGCTTCTGCAGAGGCTGATGAAGACATGGCTGTTGTCTGGAAGCTCTTAAGAGAAGGAAATGTGAACATCCAAGCTACTCAGGTAGGAGAGGTGAACATGATCTCCTCTTTAATAAATGTAGGCACCTCCCAGTTTTATTTTGCTAGTGGGGTGAGAGATTCCATGCAGATGCGTGCAGGATTTTTAACCCAAGAGGGCTGGACCGTACACATGGCTTCTGTCCAAAGCCTGAACATTTTGTTTCCTCAAAGTCTCCTGGGACTCAGACAGGCTAGGACAGAGGTCAGGGGGCTTGAAGTCTATGTCCCGATTTGAAACTGGGCAAATTCCATCTGGACCCAACTTCTTAAACCAAGTGTTTTCGGAGTTAGCACCTTGAGAAGGCATTGCTGGTTGGCAGCTCTATGATGCCCCTGTAGGTGATCCACCTTGATCATGGAATACAAAGCAGTTCAGAGGGCCTGAATGTCTCTGTTCAACTTCTGGGCCCCTCTCCTTGAGAATACAGAGTAGGGGTATGGTCCTTACCCAGTAGGGCTTTGAGTTAGACAGGGCTCCATATGTAGCAACGGAAACTCCTCAAAAGGCCACTTACCTACCTTTGACCAAAATAAGAACTAGTAGAGTACATTCAACTCTCCTTTTCCTTGTAGACTGGTCATAGATGTAGCCTAACCATCAAGAATTTTGAAGGGTCTATGATTTCATTCCACCTTAAAGCAACAGTTTAGCTGCTGCAGTATCAAGGTTGATGACAGAAGACACGAGACTCCTGTACTAGAGACAAAGGACAGTGTATTACTCACAGCGGTAGCAGTAGCCACAGCATCAGTATTTGCCCCAATTCTCAGTTCCCACAGAGTATGAGGATGGCCAGATCCCTGCACACAGAGTGGATTGTTTTAACAGAGAGGACCCTGAGCTTAGGAAACTTGAATCCTTCATGCTGGATAGTAAGCATGGCTGCCCTCTGTTCTGTAAGAAATACTATCTCTATCTTCCAAGGCTGTTCACTGTACAAACATCTTTAAAAAGATGTGATTGCCCAGAGAAGACAAGTAGTGATTTTACAGCATCTTACTACACTGATGAGCAGTGACTGTGGAGGGGTATGTGGGGGGGACTTGGTGAAGGGGGGAACCTAGTAAACATAATGTTCTTCATGTAATTGTAGATTAATGATACCAAAATTTAAAAAAAAAAAGATGTGATTGCTGAAGTAGCCTGACCTGTTGGCAGAAGCACTTTGCACACTTCCTCTAATAGCAATCCTATCAATGTCAAGAAACAGATATTTGTAGATCATTCTCTAGTTTTCAAAGTATTTCATCCACTTACAACTCTGACACCACAAGACTCAATAAAGATTTTCTCATTTTAAAAGTTTAAAGTTTCCCATAAACATGCTAATTTTTTTTCCAAATCAGCTCCATTGCAAGAGGAAGAGGTGATCATCAATGATCAAAATCAATGTCCTTTTTCAGAGAGGAAAACTGATTCTCTAGGAGGGGAAGGGACTCATCCCAGGTCACCAAAGTAGGAGTGGGAATTCGCAGCTTCAGCTGCTGCTGTTAGCCCCTCTGGGGCCTTTATATATGAGGAAGCAGTAGGTACCAGGTTATATAGGGGTGAGTTGGGAAGCTGGGAGTCTTCTAGGCTCAGCTACTTATTTCTCTTTGTTTCTCCAGGGACAGCACAGTGCCTGGCATATAGCAGTGCTCTGTAAATGATCATTGGATTAAATTGTGTTGAACTGGACTGGGAAGGAAGTGAGGAAGGAAGGAGCCCCAAACAGGAAGAGGGTCAGATAAAAGACAATCTGCATATGTCATCTGGCTTTGGAGAGAGGGTCTGGATGGTCTGTTTAGTCCAAGACAACAACCATTACCTCAAGGCTGAATATGAACAAGCCACAAAGCAAACAGGCTTCTCTGGAAAGAGCTGTCTGGGTTCTAGAGAAATGGAGAACCAGGATACCTAATAATACATCCCCACATACTAAGCATTTGTCATACGTTATGTCTAATGCTCACAATGACAGTAGTAGCTAACATGTATGTAGCATGTGATAAGCAGTCAGATCTCACAACCCCTAAGGCAGGTAATGTTCTTAAGCATTCCCATTTTACCAGATCAAGCAAAGTCATTGAGAGGTTAACTTGTGCAGATACACCCAGGTAATAAGTGGTAGAGCCAGGATTTTCCTCATTGCAAACCCCATTTCTTTTCTCTAAGCCCCAGCATTCTGGGGAGGGAAGCATCATCCATCAGTGACTGCAGATTGGAGCTTTAATCAATGAACACATCCGCAAACATGTCCTTAGCACTTTTTACATAGAAGTCACTGTGCTCAGAGGCACGGGAATCTGAAAGGAGAGAAACAGTCTTTGCCTCATTCTTGAAAACTTGCAAAGCCTGATGTCCAGTCAGAGACAAACCTGTCCTACCTGGAAGCCAGAAGAACCATGAGAGCAAAATATAATCAATTGTGAGAGGACCAGGTATATACAGGAAAATCTATGAGAAATTATGGTCCGTTTGTAATCAGAGAAATTACTACAATACATTGATATATTTATATCTTTATCACTTGATTTCTACAAAAGCCCTGTGAGGTACACAAGCTAGGTCATTATTATATTATTTTTAAGAAACTTAAAACCATAATTCCAGGAAGACAAGTGACATGGCCAGGGTGACACCCTAGGAAACAGCAGAACCACAGCTTAGACTCACTCACTTCTTGATTCTAAACCATTTCCATGTGTACCGATGTTACAGGGATGTGAAACACTGTTAATGGCTAGGGATTAGAAAGGACCACAGGTCCATGCAAATGGAGATCTTGTTGAGACAAGAGGGTTCTGGATATCATTAGTCTGAAAACACCAGACACGTTACAAGCAAACCAAGGCTTCTTGGAGGAAGCCAGGCTGAGGCAGGTGGTACGAAGCCATGTTGCTAAGCCATCAACCCTTCATAGCCCATAATTCTTCAGTTTATTCCATCATTCAACATTTATCAGCATACTGGTTGCTAGGCACTTGAGAGACAGAGATGAAACAAACTTAGACTCTACCATCAAAAATTTCACAGTCCACAAGAAAAGAGATTGACAGTTTGCAATACCAAGTGGTAAGTGTTGTGTTGTGCATCTGTGCCTGGGATGGTAGTACAGGGCCTTAGAGAGGATGTGGCATTTGACTAGTGTCTTACAAAAGGAATAGAAGTTTGCCAGGTCAAGAAGGATGTGTCCCACACTGATGGCAGAAGGACATTCAGATCCATGGTCATTTTCTGGAGAAGTCTTCCCTGAGCCCACCTAGGCTGGGAAAGGGGGTTCTTGCCTGTCAACCATAACCTCACTATGCCCCTGTGTTCCATGTGTAGGGAGGCCAGACGGCGCTGATGCTGGGAGTCAGCCACGACAGGGAGGACATGGTCCAAGCACTGCTGAGCTGCCAGGCAGATGTTAACCTGCAGGATCATGATGGATCCTCAGCTCTCATGCTGGCCTGTCACCGTGGCAACGCTGACATAGTGCGGCTGCTCCTGGCACACCCGGCCTGTGACAGCAGCCTGACTGACAAGGTAAGAGTTATGAGCAATTAACAATTAGGTAGGTCACTTCCCTTCCTGAAGAGTGCCTTACTAGCCAGCAGAATTCAAGAAACCATACAGTGCTAGCAAAAGACCTGACCTCCTAAGGCTGTTATGGAATGTAAATGAGATGATCCATGGCAAATGCTGGGAGCCATTGGCCTAGGAGACCCCAAACCTTAGCCTTTCATGACATCCTGTGGGATTGTGCTCAGGCCTGGTCTTGGCCCTGAACCTCATCTGGTCACTTCAGTAACAGCAGGTGGGTTTTGAGGCTACAGCTTAGACAGGGAAGCTCTGCTGTCCCTGGAGACCCTCAAAAGGCTGGGTGAAGGAACCAAGTGCAAAATATTCCACTCTCAACAGTGATCCACCTTACCAAGTGGGTCATTTCATCAAGCCAGGCTGCTTGAAGTTGTGTTGCCAGACATATGCTTCTGAAATAACTTTCTTATAAGGTGATGGCAGTAATAATGATAGTGGCAAGGGTCACAATAATAGTGACGATGGTGACGATGAGGATGATGGTGCAGATGGTGACAATGATGTTGATGGTGAGGGTGATGATGATGGTCACAATGGTGATGGTGGTGGTGACAATGATGGTGATGGTGATTGTAATGATGGTGACAATGGTGATGATGGTGAGGGTGATGGTGGTTGTGGTGACAATGGTGATGATGGTGATGGTGACGATGGTAATGGTGACAACAATGGTGATGAGGGTGACAGTGATGGTCACAATGATGGTGAAGGTGATGATGGTGATGGTGACAGTGATGGCGATGAGGGTGATGATGGTGATGGTGACGATGGTAATGATGGTGAGGGTGACAGTGATGGTCACAATGGTGATGATGGTGGTGACAATGATGATGATGATGGTGGTGATGGTGACAATGATGATGACAGTGATGGTGACAGTGATGATGACAGTGACAATGATGATGATGATGGTGATGATGGTGATGATAATGTGACAATGATGGCGATAATAATGATCATAGCACATGTCTATTGAACGCTTGCCTGCTGCCAGAAACTATCCTAAGCATTTACCACAGGCCATCTCATTTAAATCCACGACAACCTTATGAGGTTGACTCTGTTGATGCCACCCATTTGCTCATGAAGAAATGGAGGCACCAAGTGGTTAAATAACACACCCAAGGTCACCATCTGGTGGAGCCTAGAGCCATCAGACTCCCAAGAATACTCACAGGAACAAAACTTCCCATACGTGACTTCACTAATCCTCTCAGTAATCCAGTGAGGTAGAATCCGAGACCCTCATTTTGTACTGATAAGGCAACAGAGGCTTAGAGAGTTTATGTAGCTGCCTTAGGGTCACAAGCTGCTGATGCTCAGAATAAGGATTCAAGCCCAGGTCTGACTCTGTTGAAGTGGAACCTTAACATTGGCACTATAATTTAATGCTTTAAATGGATTTTACTATACATTCTTAACATCCACAGTTCAAAGGGAACACAGGCCTGGGGAGGGGAAGAAGAGTCCCCTTTCTGCCTAGCGACAGCCCCTCATACTAGTTCACATCTGAACCACCCCACACTGTTCCATCAGTGATTCAAGGTGGTGGATCCCTCAAGCCACACCCAGGAAGCAGGTTCCCCAGTCAGTGTCTTCAGGTACTGGGAACCGAGCTCTGCTAAAGCGGTTTCTGAGCTAGAGAGAACAGACCCTCTTGAACTGCATGTGTGTATGGTGGCGGGCTGTGAAAACAAGAGCCTCCTGTTCCAAACCTTATATAGCCAGACAAGGCTCTGTATTAGGAGCTCCCTGCAGGGTTGCCCTGGGGCAGGAGGAGGCAGCTCTTTAATGCAAAACAGGCCCCTGGCTCTCCCAGAGTGTCTACTGCGGTTGCCCCTGGGGGCCTTGAGAGGGCAGACCTGTGGGGTAGGGGACATGAGCTTTGGAAGTCCCAGGTGAGCTGGGGCGATCAGGCAGTGTGTCTGAGATCATCTCCGAGACACCTCTGGAGGTTCTGTCACAGATAACAGAGAGCTCATGGCTGCTTTCAGGAGGTAGAAGAGCCATGGTGGGTGGGCTCTGCTGTACTTTGAACAAATAGAGTGACTATTAGAAGCATGGACTCTAAAATTAAACACTCATGAGTTTGAAACTGGGTACAGTGACTGTGTGCCTTTGGGCAGATCACTTAACCACTCTTGGCCTCTGTCACTGGGGATAGTAATAGACCTAAACACGGTAATGTTTGTAAAGTCCATATGTGACATCTAGGAGGTCCTCAGTTGGAGGTAACTGTTATTGCTGTGAACAGGTGCACAGTGACAGCGAATATGCAGCAACCACCACGTGAATGCGCAGGGATCTTGGCATTTGCAGGAAGTGTCTGCAGGGAGTAGAAAGGATGAAGGTCTGGAGTTAGGGGAGCCAGTCAGAAAAGACTGCCCCAAAGGGCAAAGTGGCTCTCATTCAGGAGTGATTTTGCCTTCCAGGGGAGATATGACAATGTCTGGAGACATTTTTTATTTGTTTGTATTTACATTTTTCATTTATTGTATTTACAAACATACAAACATATAAGTTGGGGAGGGGGTGTCCCTGGTATCTAGTGGGTAGATGCTAAATGCCCTATGGTGCACAGGAACAATGAGGGATTACAGGTTATCTGGCCCAACATGTCAGTAGTGCCATGGTGGAGGAACACTGGTATAAGCAAGTGCTTAAGTTCAGGTGGGACTAGACAGCCACTGCAGTCCAGCGCTGGACGGGAACAGCCAGATCGTGGTCGAGGACCAGGCTGGCTGACGTTCAAGGCAGCCTGGGAGGGAGGAAATAGAGGAGACAGGAGATGGCAGCAGAAGCCTGTTGCAGCAAAAAGTGGAGAGGGTTAAGGGGGGCCCACCGAGTGCAGGGGTGCCCAGGCAGTGCAGGCAGCAGGCCCAGAGGGTTCTAGACTCCCCTCACGGCCCAGTCATCTGCTGCCTGCGTGGGTCAGGGCTGACTCAGGGTTCACATCCAAATTACCCAAAGGTGACTTGGGGAGAAGGTTCAGTGGGAGATGGGGACTGCTGACTGAGTCCCTCCTGAGCAACAAGCCTCTGAGCCTAGAGCCTTTCACTGAAGGCCTTCTCATGATCACCGTATCGTTTGAAGGTTCACCTTTCCCATGAAGACTTAGATACAGGTTTCATTTAATTCCCTTGGAATACAGAGAGAATTCATGTCCTGAAATTGGTTTCTCTCATCCTACCAATATTTAAATGTTACTCTAAATGCAGAATCCCTAGAAGACAGGAAGGCACTTTTTCTGGACTTGGAATGTATTCAAGAAATAGGTCAGCCAGCCCACTGGGGGGTGGCAGAGTATGAGGATAAGGGGCAGGTGATGAGGACCAGCCCCGGGCCTCCCGGGCTCACCCTCTGAAGGACTTGTTTTGGCAGAACCTCCAAAGCACCCATCAAATCGAAAGCTTCCTGAAGGCAGAGGCTATGCCTTGCTCATTTTTGCCTGATACAGAGTGGGTTCTTGGTGAGTTCTTGTCATATTGAAAGAAGAATCCCCTCCCCATCACACACACACACACACACACACACAGGTGTGCTGGCTGCAGGAGCCCCTTCTGTCTCTTCAGTCCCATGGCATTGCAAGCAGGGACCTGCCATGCCTGGCTCCTACTGGAGCTGCATGCCATGGGCTTGTTCCCTAGGCTCTGGCAGAACCATTTGAGGGATGCGCCCCGCCCAAGTGGTCTTTTTGGCCACACTTTTTGAGCCGAATGGGATCTCCCACTCCATGTCTACACCCAACGAGCTCACAGATGCAGGCTGTCATCTCCAGATAGGCCCTGTTCAAAGGGGCACAGGTCCCCTGGGACTGGTCCTGTGGTTCTTTCCCATATTAATGGTGATTACACCATCTCCACGTTTATACTGTAGAGCCTCAAGGTTGGCAAAATACAAAGATGAGTCCAGAGCACAGGGACACAGGCCTAAATAAACCTCAGCCCCTTTCCTGTGGGGTTTTACAAGGCTCCTCTCTTAAAATCTTTGCTTTTTTCCAGATTTGCCCAGTCTAAGAAAATACTCATTAGGATTTTATGTTGCTCAGGTTCTTCACCAACTTGAAATTAATACCTCTCCTTAGCACACAGTCTCCCCTTCTTTCCCCTCAGCACGCAGCTCCCACTCTTTCAACAGTGCTTTCTGAGTTCCAGCCACGTGGCAGGCACTGGGCTGGGTGCAGGGATGTCTGTGCTGGCCAGCGTCTTCCCTCCTGTAGACTGAGACTTATCAAATAACCCTACAAATACCAACTTGTAAGGGGTGGGAAAAGGAAGGCGCAGGGAGTCATGAGGCCTTTTTAGGGAAAGAACTTCATATTTTGTGAAGCCCATGTCCTTTGGGGTCCCACTGAGATAACACTTCCTTCTTCTGCCTGCGCCACCCTGCACCCCCGCCCTCTACACAGACACCCAGCAGCTGTCCTCTCCCCTGAGCTCATTCTATTCTGGTTCTGGCTTGTCTGGCTTTTTGCTGTGCATTACAGTTATTCACATGTGTGGGGGCCCCAGTGGCAGGTAGACTCCCTCCTGGGGCAGAGAAAAGACTGAAGAGTTTTAAGTTGAGTATGAACACTTCCACCTGCTTCTGTGGATTTTTCACATTTTAGGAAGTAATTTCACCCATTTATAGTAGAGTAGAGAATATCCTAGTGGGGTCATGGGCACCCACCATATATCAAACTCATTGATCTTTATGCAGCAAAATGTAAAAATAGTCACACTAACTGGGCTAAATATAGATCAAAGATTCAATAGAAGAGAAATGGTTCCATAAATTATGGAATATTATGCAACCAGTAAGGAAAATTATATGTTAAAATGACTATAAGGAAAGGAAAAAAATATTACAGCATACCATGGTAAGTTAAAAATAAAAGCAGATTCAAAATTGAGATACACTCTCATTCCTCTATTTAAAAACCAACAACAAATCTGCATGGAAGAAAAGATGAGAGGGAAACATACCAAAATGCTAATTTTCATTTAGGTCTGTGTAATGGAATAATGCAAGAGTTATCATCTTTTCTCTGTTTTCCAATTTTTAAAAAAAGTACTAACAAACAAGCAAAATTTCATTATTTCTACTGGCACAGATTTCCCAGGAGCGAAAGCTGTTTCACTGGAAGGCAGTCCATATCTCATGATCCTCATGCCATTTGAATTTCCTCCTCAACCAGTTTCTCTGAATGCTTGGAATAGACTTCTGCTCCCTATTCATACCCCCTACTCCCAACTCACCCTTCCTCTCTGGAGTGAGAGGCAGTCAGATAAAATCTGTTTCTCCTTTTCTTTTTTCCCTGTAGGGTGGCCGAACAGCTCTGTCCATCGTTCTGAAATCACCCGCCCATGTGGAAATTGCAGGGCTTCTGCAGGCCCACGCAGAGCAGGGCAGGTCCCTGGGGCCTTAGGGGCTAGGGAAAAACTGGCAGTTGAGAACAAAAGGCTCCTTCTCTGGACTCCTCCCTCATCCTTGGAGAGGGCATGGGTCATAGTCAGAGGGCCACCCCTCAACAGAAGAAACTATGTCAAATATGCACATACATTCTTGTTGTATAATTCTGCTCATTAGGATGCTTTGTAGTTTTTGCCTTAGGCCAAGCCCCAAAACAACACGGGCTGCAGAGCAGGGGACAAGGTGCAGGGGGCATTGGTGTCACCTAAAAATCCCAAACATCTTCAGCCTTGAATTCCTCATGACCTTACTCTTGTTGCACCGTGTAGTGAGCAGGTAGCTAGGAGCACATTAGCAAAGCAATACTTTTTACATGGAATTTTAAAGCTCACTATCTTTTTATTTCTAATCAATTATATATGAATATGTCCCACTGAATATGCATGCCTAGAGAGGATTGAGTGGAGAGGGGATGTTAAGCAGCCACCCTGGCAATCATCCTCTAAAGGACCCTGGGAGAATCACCACGCAGACAGGTAAAACTGAACAAATCCCATCTGGGGGCCTTTGTTCAATTGGGGTTGACAGAAAAATCTTGGAGTCAGATAAAGTAAGGAGAAGCACATTGGCATCAGTGCCAGATACACAGTCTTGACCATTTCCAAGTCATTGAGTGGCTCCAGTTTGCTCCAGGAAAGTTGGAATGAATCAGGAAACCCAGTCCAATGAAGCCCACCACATGCATTGGGGCAGATTCCAGTTACATCAGCTATTCTGAATCTGTGAAAAGAACAAACAAATAAATGGGAGTGAGCATCCTCCTGGGGCTGGGTTACTGCCTTCCAAAACCACCAACTTTCCCCCCATAGTTGTATCCATGGCCTTAGGGCTGTTCCCCTCACAATGAGCCCCAGTGAGGCTCTGAGCTTTCTGAGGTTCCCGAGTGCAGAACCTGCCAGCCGAACAGCAGGAGTGTGGGTTGGGGGGCCAGGCAGTGCCCACCCTGGGCTAACCTCTCTCCACTGGACAGGGCTTTCTGAAAATCCCAATTCCTGGGGGCCCCCATGTGCATGGCTCATTCAGTAAGTAACTCACACAAGGTTATCTATGAATGTGTTCTTTCTTAAGGTCTCTTAGGTTAAAAAAAAACCAAAAAAACAAAAAGCGCTTATATAGAAAGGAAAGACATCAAAGTCCAGTGAACCTCACACTGGAAACTCCAAAGCTTGAGTTCTCATTTTGACTCAGATGCTGATTTGGTTGGTGCCCCTTGGCTGAATCACCAAACCGCCTTGGGGTCCTGGTTTCATCGTCTCTGAAAACAGAAATCATCATACAAGCTAACTCCCAGGGGTGTTGTACAAGGAACAGCTGATGGCAGTTTCGGAATCCAATTTGTAATCCATAAAGACTGTCTACAGAAATGGCACAGCAAAATGCTGTACGCTGCTGGAATTCACAAGAACAGCTCAAATTCCCAGGGCAGGATGCTGACATATGATGGTATTGCTCAGAGGTAGAGAATGGAGAAAAAAATGAGCTAAAAATGATTGAAATGGGTTCATTTTGACCTCAAAGCACATTTTAAGAGCAAAACCTGCACTAATAAATGTTCTAGCTCAATGCTTCTCAAATTTTGATGAGCATACAAATAAATCACCCAGAGATCTTGTTAGAATGTAGTACATCTGAGGAGGGGAGGGGGCCTAAGATTTTACATTTCTAACCAGTTCTCAGGGGATGCTGAAGTTGCTGGGCCACACCACCCTTTAAGTAGCAAGACTCTGGCCTGTCTTGACTGTTAAACTATATTAAAATGCTCCCTCTCAATCTTTTGTCTCAAAATTTCTTTGCATTTCTCTGCTCTTGGTTCTTGGGAATTTGCAATGTGGGACTTATTTGCTAGCATGGCTTTTCAGACAGCAGAAGGGGGTCTGTGGTCCTACTTGCCAATTTAGGGTCTATTTATGTATCTCATATCAAGGTGACAACTTTCATTTGGTCACATTTTTTTAAATTATCTCATTTGAGTCCAGCTACAAACAGCTTATTTACCAGAGAAGGCAAACTGGTGGTCCTAAAATTTGAAGCCATTGAGTCATTACAAAACAGATTTTGTCCATCCTTTCTAATATTTTTATTAAGTTTCTTTTAATCTTGCATTTGGAACATGAACATATGATCTTATCCCTTACAACCATTCCATTCTGTCTGAATGTCTGAGCCCAGAACACAGTGAAATGAACAAGCACAGCCTGTCTCCCTGACACTCTCTCTTAGCTCTAGAATTCATTCAGCAAATTCTCTGTTGAAACCAGCCAGGGGCCTGACACTGTTTCAGGCACTAGCTTTCAGAAAGCAGCAATGGTCCCTTCTAGAAAAACAGTGTCTACGGTTACCATAATCCCAAACCCAGACTTTCTGGGACTTTAAGCCAAGGATCCACTGATTGATTAAGACATTTGTCAAGTACCTTGCAGCACAGACTCTAAACAACATAAATGAGGCTTATTGGGGACATTTATTAACCTCAGGCCTCGAGAGAGACCCACAGATATTTTAGCTCCCTTCATTGCCTTCAAGGACTTTACACTCTGCTCTTGAAAGACAGGACATGTGCCAATAGCAAGGAATAAGACAACATAGTTTAATCTACAAATATTTCTGGAGTGTCCACTGTGTGCAGGCCCTGGGCTCACATTCAGGATATCATAGTGCAGACTGCTACTTCACCATCTACTTGGGAAAACAGAATAGTGAGAAGGAAGCCCAGAATACTACAGGCTTTCCAGTAAAGGGCACCACAACTGGTCACAGAAGTCAAGGGAGGCTTCCTGGAGGAAGAGATGTCTGAATTGAATGCTTAAAGGTTAGTGGATGTTAGCCCAACAAGGAAGAGGAGTGAGAGATGAGAAGTAAGAGTGTACCAGAGAGTCCAGTATTGGCCAAGGCTGAAAGAAGTGAGACCAGGTATTTGGGGACCTCCATTCAGTTCAGTAAGACTGGATTTTGAAGAGATGACAAGACTGAAAATGCATGGGGATCTGATCATAAAGGACCCTAAAACCATTGTAAGACTTTGTTCTAAATGCAATGAAGAGCTACCGAAAACCAGATTTATGATTAAGAAATCCATTCATCTAACTCCCACTTAACACAGATTTATCAGTAACTACTCCCTTCCAAGTACTGCGTTTGGGGCTGAGGACATGCTGGTGGGCAAGTCAGAGAACTTCCAGTTTAGCAGGAAAGGAAGACAAGTCACTTGGCACGGTATGTCGCATGCTGCAACTGGGAAAGTACCCGGTGCTGTGAGGACACATGGGTGGGACACGGCCTAGTCTGAGGGTGGGGAGGGGGTCCAGGAAGGCTTCCTGAGGAAGAGTTGAGCTAAAATCTGAAGGATGGGTACTCATTAGCCAGGCAAAGAGGAGCAGAGGAAGAAGCATGTATAATGTCTCGAGACAAGAAAGAACCCTGACATGGGGCATTAAAAGAACTTCAGTGTTCCTGGAATAGGAAAACAGAATAATTGCAAGATGAGGCTGGAGAGAAAGCCGCTGAGACAATTTTGGACCTGAAGGAAATGGGAACACAAGAAGTGACACTCAGGTTTACATTTTAGAGCACTCCAGTTTTTTGAGCATGAGTGACCTTTATTCAGCAAACATCTGTGGACTACCTATTCTGGTGGAGGAGAGATAAGCTGATGAGTCTGCAGTAGCATGAGTAATGGAGGTCTGCATAGTATTGTGGAGACTGACAGGGCCAGAGGGAGTCAGGGAAGCCTCAAAGAGGAGGTGGCTTTTGAGCTTAGCCATAAGGATGTGTAGGAGTTTGCCCAGACATTCTAGATGGAACAGCAAGCATAAAGATGTGGAGTGTGAAAGAACATGGTCTGTCTGGGCAACGGAGAGAATTTCAGAATGACTTTCAGTTTAGGTTGCCTGGGTATGGAAGGTGACTAGTGAGGAGATTTGAGAAGGTCAGTAGACACATCTGACTTGTATGTTGAGGTTAAGAATTTGGACTTGAGCCTGTAACTTGAGAGAAAATCACAACTTCTTTGAGAATATGGAGCTTTCTTCAGAAAAATGTACATACATGCAAAATTTGCATATAATTTCAGGGATTCAGAAATCTGTAGTTAAAATCTCACTGCTACAGGTAGTGGGGAGCCATTGAAGAATTTCTAAATGGTGGGACCATATGATCACATTTCCACTTGAGAATGATCACACACACAGGCTACAAAGAGACTAGAACAAAGGATCCGTTAGAAGGTGCTCATGAGACACTAGGTATACAGCTGTAAAGGCCCAGTCCACAGTAGCATCAGTGGGGATAAACAGCGCCTTACGGGAAAGGCATCAGGAGCGAAGATGTGCCAGGATGTGATGACAGACTAGATGGTGGAGGGGAGTCAGAAATGAGTGACAGGAAAATGGTGGTGCCATTGTCCCCAGTATCCATTATTCCCTTCCTCCTTAGTAATAGAATCCCCAACTTTTAGGGGGACACATCAGCACCCAAAATGGAGACCACATCTCCCAGCCTCCCTTGCAGTTTGATGTGACCATGTAACTTAAGTTCTGGCTAATGAGATGTGAGTGAAAGGATGTGTGCAAAGTCTGGCTCCTGCATTTAAAAGGAAGAGAAATGCATTTCTCCCTTTCCACTGGGTGGAATTCTGGAATGTGCAGCCATCTATCTTAATCGATGAAGACGAGACCAACATCCTAGGGATCACAGACCAGCAAGCCAGGAACAACTTAGGCTCCCAATATTGTAAAGTCATCAACTCTTCTCTGGCCTGTTTATTCTCCATTTGATATGTGAGCAAGAAATAATCCTTTAACTTGTTTAAGCCTAGGACATTTGGGTCTCTGTTGCAGTAGGAATTCAACAAATGCATTTGGCATCCCATGGTGGTTTCAAAGGTCTGATGTTATGGCTAGTAGATTTCAGGCAGGAAAAACTCAGGAAGGCTTTCAGAAAGAGCATCCTTTCAGTGGTCAGATATAATGGGTATCTGCTCACAC